GGGGCCTGCAAAACCTCCATGTGAAATTATGCGTCCGATACATGCAAATACTGCAGCTGCGTTCCTGTGTTGTGTAGAATGCATTGCATTGTGAGTGCCGATTTAGCCACCACTAGATTTTATGTCGTAAAACCACATGTGTAAAGTCACAACATTAACACTTGTTATAGCTCACAGCAAACTACAAAACTGGCATAAGAGTTCTTCGTGCGTAAGATTTCCGGTGACAAATCGATCAGCTAATAAGCGGTCTGTACCCAGACCCACCCACTACCATTCCTTGTCAGTAATATCCACCTGCTGTCCATCCGTTTTCATTTCACACAACACGTTTTTGCATAGTATGGATAGGTGTACTGAACATTTGCACCAAAATTTTTAGTTTTGAATTATAATTGCGAAAGCAGTGAATGGAGCTAACTGCGATTCTGAAAGGCACGAGCTATAATGTTGTGTAGTCATTTGTAAAGTGTCTGCCCATCTATCATAAACGTCTTTCCCACATACTAACACATACTAACAGTTTTCCTAAGCCCTCCATCCAACCAAACCCATTGCCCATTCAATGCTGGTACCCTTTGGCTCAACAAACCGCGGAGCCCTCCATTTGCGCATCAGATAATAAATGATAATCCAACAACAGGCGACATCGCTAGACCACATTGCAGGACTTTAATGGATTGTTTTTCTTTTACGAATTTACGCATTCTGCTGTACGCTTGCTATCTTGTAATCGCCCAACTCTGGGCTCTTCATTTCAAGCTAAGAGGCATCATTAAAATGATATAAACGTCATCTATTTGCACTATTTTGCTGTTACCACCGTTCAAGGTCATTTCACTGGCTGATACGTGATCCACGTGTACCCCACATACTTCAAGGTATCACCAACATATTGATAAGGCGACGCACTTTGAGATTTTATGGTTGTGGGCCATGCTGTACGCCACACACACCAACCGTATTCAAAGGTCTCGACATAACCCGACCTTTTAACTCCGTGGCGCATTGCACGATCGGAGTTACAAATAAAGCTGTCTGCTGTCACTCACACCATATGCTACACCGTTCCGTGAAAATGCAAAGTTTCGAAACATTCTATTTTGAAAAGATGATGGGTGTAACGTGGCCTTTGACCTCGCCACAAGGTCACAAGCTCAAAGAAGGATCGGAAATCGTCACCGCTATTTCTTCAGAGTTGGTACAGATAATTTCCTTTCCAAGGTGCCATCACCTCTAAGTGGTCAATGCAAAAATCCAAATTATTCTCTGGTCCAGCTTTCCAGATGGCCCCTGACGCTTGGGGACCTGTATCTTGTGACCCCTGTAATCAAGAAAACTACAATCATATAGAATGTAGGATTTAGACAAATTTATGCGCCAAGTTTGGTTGAAATCGGAGAGGTCGTGGTGAACATGACTTGATGATCTCTCGCGAAATTGTCCAAATGCCGGGGGCATTCCTGACTGTATGCTGGTTCTGCCAAGCAGGGGACACTCCAGAAATGTCATGTAGGATCAATTTTCTCATGGTCTGGGTGAAGATGGCTGCTCTTTTGTCGGAAGCAAGACTTTCCTTCCTAAGCTACGGCTCCATTCCCGCAACGCATTTTTGATGCAGTATGGGTACTCACCAAGACGTTACAACCTTCGCAGTGCTTCTCCGCCTCCGAACGGAATGGGTGTTGTGTCTTCGTCCAGTGGCAAAGTTCTTAAACTACACGCAGTTGTGCGCGAGGCGAATGACCGAGAAAAGGAGAGCCGCGAGAAGAGTGGAGATGGGAAGCGATTTTGTCCCAACGTCGCCCCAACCGGCATCACGTCGTTTTGAACGATCCCTCCATCCCGTGCGGAACGAGGTTGTTTGTGCCAGGCCAGAGCCGAGAGAGCCTGCTCGGATCGCCTCGCGCCTGTCCTGCCTGGTTGGCTGGGGCTCCTGCGCCGCACGCCGCGTCCCTGCTCGCTCGCCGCCCCGCCGCCAGGCCGTGCAGCCCGCGGCGCCGCGGCCCGAACCCGGCGGCGGCGCGCCGCTCCTACAGCGCCACGCCCCGGGGCATTAGCTGAGTGGCCGGCGGGCACAGCTGGCCAGGCGGCCAAGGTCAGACGCCCGGGGTGCCGCCGGCGGCGACGGCACTCACAGCGGCCGAATCAGAGGCGCCGCGTTCGCTCCGACCTGGCGACTGGCGCTGCAGCTGCACAGCCGGCTCGCGGTGCTAGGCTCATGCTAATGGGCTTTCCGCTTGTGAGACCCACACTCACAATGCCTTTGCCTTTTACGCCGAGTTCCTTGAGTCGGACGCATGCATGGCAGCTAAAACCGAGCATATTAACTCAGCTAAAACTGAGTACGTTAGCTCAGCTAGACCTGAGCACGTCAGCTCAGGTGGAACTGAGCACGTCAGCTCAGCTAGAACGGAGCACGTCAGCTCAGCTAGAACTGAGCACGTTATCTCAGCTAGAACTGAGCACGTTAGCTCAGCTGGAACTGTGCACTTAAGCTCAACTGGAACTGAGCACGTTAGCCCAGCTGGAACTGAGCACGTCAGCTCAGCTGGAACGGTGCACGTCAGCTCAGCTAGAACTGTGCAGGTTAGCTCAGCTAGAACTGTGCACGTTAGCTCAGCTAGAACTGTGCACGTTTGCCCAGCTAGAACTGAGAACGTCAGCTCAGCTGGAACTGAGCTTGTTAGCCCAGCTAGAGCTGAGCACGCTAGCGTTGGGTCTTCTCCCACTGCGCAGGTTTTGCTGGTTTGCGTTCCGAGCTTGCTCTAAGTGAGAAAATGTAATTTTCATTGACCTCAATTTAGTAACTCAAAAAGAAGAGCAGGTGCGTGGACGAAGTTACCGACTACCTTGAGCTGAGAGCTCTGGTGGAAGTGCAATTTCCTCGTCTTTCTGAGCATTGACACCGAGCCCACGAGCAAATGTCATGAACAGTTATATAAATCGTCTGATTTATGTAAGCAGCGCAAGCTTTAAGTTAAACCAGTTTTATTGTGTCCCATATGTATCTATAATATGTATTTCGTATCACTTGTGTCTATCACAGACGTAGAACCAATAAGAGACAGATAGGTGAGGCTCATTGCAGCGCATCGGGGTAGCCATACAGTGACCATACATCAGACCACTGATCTTCAGCCTTTCCCCTAGCTTTGACCCGATTTCGTGCTCCGGACCATCCGCCAGCCCATGTTTCACTCCGTACCAGAGCCCGGAAGAGCTCATAACGATGGTAGGCGTTTTGAATTTGGCTTGACTCTACCTTGTTTACTTCTGGCGCCTTGTGCGATGGGGATGATTCGATGGATTGAAAGAGGTTGCACATGTTAGAGTCGACCTCGTATCTATTTCGATTATTGAAAGCAGTGAGACTAGGAATGATATATGTCTACTACTGTGGAACAGATGGGGCGAATATGGGCAAATATGGAAAGCGATGTGTTTTGCATCTCTGATCTCTCGGTGCCACGGTGATAAAATGCAAGATTACATTTTTTCTAAAACATAATATGGTCACCGTTATCGTCAGTCCAGCGGTAATGGCCATGGAGCTGTTACTAGTAAAATGCTGTACAATCCTTAAGAATTAAAGCTACCACCAAACAAATCCTGCACGGTGCGTTGATAAGTTGCACTATCGGCGCGCGGAGCATTCTGTAAAATGTGCCGTGTTTGAATTGTTAATAAATCCATTGTATTTGCACATTCAGTGGACGCCTGGGATGCATGCATTCTTTGGTATGACAGGACAAGTGAAATGACGCCTGTGATGAACTCATGGCATTAGTTGCTCACATGCTTACTTCATGGGTCGAAGTGGTTGATGGTTCGGCATATTCCAAAACTGAAGGATGCACCTGCAGCACAGATAACCAACAATTTTGCACGGTTTCAGATTCCTTGTAACTTGTAACTAAGATCTCCGCCTTCCCCAGCCGTCTGTCCGCATACCCCCTCAGCGTCGGTTTCTCCAGCCGTCTGTCCGTATACCCCCTCAGTGCCGGCTTCCCCAGCCGTCTATCCGCACAGCTCCACAATGTTGCGGGTGATCCAGCGGTCCCTGATGCCCAGCGCCCGACTCCGCAACAGTTTATCATACGGCTGTTGTGTCGGCTGGCGCAGTGCGAACAACGTATTTCATTCAACCCATTGCATTTGCCATCATTTGGATGGTAATGTTGCAGCAGCGAAGGCAGAGCAAAAACACGCGCGGGATTCGGTGCGAGCAGGGAGAGCAGTCGCACTTCATTACTGTTTACGCTTTGCAGTAGCATCAAAGGCGCGGGATCTGTTGGGCAATGGAGGAGAGGCAGGGAGGTCTAGGGGGCTGGAAGCTCATCGTTGCGGAAAATCTAGCGCTTAACTTGGGGGGGGGGGGGGCGCACAAAATAATAATCAAAATAATTAGACCTCCCAGTCCTCTGCAAGCGTCTTCGCTCCTGGCCACCTAAGGTTGGCCTTGGTTAAAGAGAATGTTCCACATTTAAAGCAAGCATCAGATATGATGAAATAAGCTCACTTTTAACTAATGGTATATTTGTGAACGGAAAAGGCTGTTCTAGATAACACAATTTCTCTGTTGAGTGGATATTTTTTGACGGCCGTTATGTCTCAGAATCGTGCTCATGAACGCCAGACATGAACGACTCGACAATTATGTTTTTCGTGGCCTTGATCGCCGCATGATCACAGAATGCAGAATTTGAATGACGTTATGATGGCGTCATTGACACCTGGGTGAAACTAGAAGAGTCTAGGTCTCAAGAAGGGCGGGACTGTAAACTGCACTGAATGGCATTCAAGATGGCTGTTTCAGTTCAAATCCCTGTACGAATGTGGAGTATTCCCTTTAAGCCCGATGTCGAGTTAAGGTTCCTCCTCATGATTGGAAACGCGTCAAATGGCTGTAGGGAACGGTTCCAACCTGTGAGAGCGCCTCCAAGCGAATAAGCTATGCACTCGCCAGTGACAGCGTGTTTGTGTCCTGGCTTTTGCAGAGCTTTCTGAAGGGAGAGTTGCAAATTGTGGCGGACGAGGCGTTCCAGAACGCCATCCACAGCTTCACAGAGGCGGTGCTGAGGTCGGAGAGGCTGGCCAGAATGGTGCAGTCCGGCGCCTGCTCGCAACATGATCTCAAGGAGATCTTTAAGAACATGATCGAAAAACGCGTCAGGTGAGTGAGCGTGCCTATTTGCAGTCAGTGCTTCAACTGCTTGGCTTTAAGAGATACACTTTTCTTAAAGATCTCCGCGCGTTCTCTTCGTAACGAAGTTGTTAGAAATGTTCATCAGTGAGTGTTTTCAGCTGAGATCAAATTTCAGCGCGATATGAGCTCGTGAATAAAAAAAAATAACGCACAGGCTAGGGCCACGAAAATAATTTGGCTACAATTAATAAAATCCGACAACAATTTGTTTCCATTATCTTTCCCAGAACAAGCTTTAAAAGCATTCTTAAAATTGTCACAATCCTTTCGGCTCCATTGGGATGGTCTCCTCCATCAAAATTTGTAATGTTCTCACGGACCTCGGCGCACCCGAAAGCTGATATGAAACGCAGAACTCGTCGGCGATTGCCGGCCTAGCAAGCACTCCAGGCGCCAGTAATTCCTGGCATCTGTCCGTACATAGCGCTGACTGACCCCCCCCCCCCCCCTCTGCGCAGGTGCCTCCCCGAGATAGATGGCCTGAGCAAGGAGACGGTGCTCACTTCCTGGATGGCCAAGTTCGACTGCATCCTGAAGGGTAAGCGCCTCTGCTCACGTGCCCGTGAGCCGTCCCTGCCCCACGGACACGTGAGCCGCTCTGTCCGTGTCGCTCCCGCTCCACGGACACGTGAGGAGCAGTTCTGCCCAGACATACCAACGTTTGCTGCGGGGATCGTTCAAAATGTCAACCAACACGACTGTATTACCTCCTCAAGCAAGAAGCCCCAATATTCAGGATCTAATGCATAAATTCACGTCTTAATTTTTCAAGCCGCAGCTAGGAGGCCTCCATGACCTACCACTCTGATGACAGTTCTCAATCAATGACACCTTCACATTTTAAAGCATAACCTTCTCCAAAGCACCACCGATGCGCTGTCAGAACAGGGTGAAGCATGACCAAGCAGCACATGCTGGACATGGTGATATTTTTTTGTCAAACGCATTAGAAACATCAAATTAAAAAAATAATAATTTGGCCTGGCTGCTCCATACCTCTGAAAGGTCGCATACCAGCAAGCACCGACCGGAGACGGTGGCCGGGACTATGCGTGTGACCCTTGATGTCTTTCCTAGTCACGTGACACCCGTCATGCGAGAGCATCGGGACGTTCAATAACCCGCCGATAAACTGCACTCTAGCGCAGATGGTAGAATCTTACAGGGTTAAGTAAGGTTAAAGTTGTGGAATTGTCTTGTGGACATCGAATTGGCTATCTCAGTTCGACACTCCATACAAGGGTAAAATGCATTGTTTATAACCCCGGTATGAAATGTTCTACACGGCCCAAGACATTGCCCCTTGTTTACGACCCCGGTATGAAATGTTCCACACGGCCCAAGACATTGCCCCTTGTTTACGACCCCGGTATGAAATGAAATGCTTGCACGCGGCCCAAGACGTTGCCCCTCGGCAGTACCGGGAGACGACGACCAGCGGAAACCGTCCCGACTTCAAAACAGCGGCAACTCAGAGCTCATCCTCAGCAAGGAGCAGCTGTACGACATCTTCCAGAACATTCTCGGTGTCAAAAAGTTTGAACACCAGCTGCTCTACAACGCGCTGCAGGTTAGCTGGTGACAGGCTGAGCAGTCCTGAGGAACTAACGCTCTCGAGCAGAAGGGTACGCAGTGCGTCCTCGCCTCCCCCACAACCACCACCCAGAACCGCCACATTTTTCGACATCATGCGATGTACATAGACGAATCACAAGTAACCAAATGTTCTTTGCAGTCAAATTTAGCCAACCGACTCGCACCTAAATGTCGACCCAGTTCAAAATCACTCCTCCTCCTCTCCCCCCCCCCCCCCTTAATGCAGCTTGGTGAACCGATCGCAGCCCGTACCAGCACCAGCCTTAACTGCTCACCGTCAGTACATCACAGGATATACATCCGTACATCACAGGAGCTGTGTGCAGGAAGTCAGACCAGATGTACCGGCTGCGATCGATGGGCCCACCGAATGCACCGCAGGATGTACTGCCGGATGTACCGCCGAATGTACCGCCGGATGTACCGCCGGACGTACCGCCGGATGTACCGCCGGATGTATCGTCGAGCCCAGCCGAGGCATGATGGAACGTGGACGACACACCTGGGCGGCCAAACGAAGTGGAAGGCTTGAGCTATGTGCGAATAGAATCTAACCGGCTATTTGATCTTCGTCCCATATTCGTTCAGTTTTGCTGTCATTTTAGTTCATTCCAGATGAAAGCTGGTGGCATGCCTGGATTGCGTGCTGACGGAGTGCGGATATGTGAGCGTCGCACGGGCCGGATCTGGTCTCATATTCTGGCTGCGTTCGGTTGAATCTAGCCAGAAATTTGAGCAGCACCCTGGCGAAAGCTGGTGAAATTCTGCAGCAGCATCTGGGCTGCATTTGGCTGGTCGCGAGTGCCGCACCCGACTGGGATCCGGTCGGTAATGAAGTGTGGCGGCCGCAGCGTCAACAAGCTGGCAGCGGCCGACAGAACGGCAGCCGGGCCCGGGAGTTGGGGTCAAGGTCATGCTGTTGAGTTAGCACGACGAACAACTTGGAACTGTTAGCTGCTGCATCAAAACACTTATGTGAATTTTCTACCCGCCATAGCTTCTTTGAGAGTCTGCCCTGCCGCTTGAAGCTGGCGGCCTCGATGCCCGCGGCCGTCATCAGTTTCCGTTTGGCCGTGTCAGCAGCCTCCCGGCTGGCGCCGCGCCGCGAGGGGCGGCCCAGCCTCTGAGCCGCCGGGCCCCGGTTAGCGGGCCACATACCGCGCTTCAGCGTTATCCCCTGACCAAGCGCGCCTCGCTGACCTCCTTGAGGCGATCCGCCGTGCTTTGTTGATGCGAGGCGCTTGGAAATTTTCACCGGAACGACTGGGATCTCCTGCGCGGCGAGGATCTTGGCTCATCTCTGCCTTAGTCTGTCACCGCGTTGGCACAGCCTCGCAGAGATAACCGCTGGAGCGATGTGCGGCGACTCGTAACCACCCCATTTGTGGAGAGCTTCTGCGATATTTGGCGTACATTCAATATGACGTTTAAGGTCCACTGTCTCTTTCTCTTTTTCTCCTCTTTCTATTCCTCCTTTCTCTCTTTCCCCTTTCCCTCTTCCTCGTTTCTCTTTTTCTCCTTTCTCTCTTCCTCCTTTCTCTCTTCCTCCTTTCTCTCTTCCTCCTTTTTCTTTGCCTCCTTTCTCTCTTTCTCCTTTCTCTTTTCCTCCCTTCTCTCCCACTCTCTAGCTTTCACGCTTTTCTTTCTCTCCTTTTCTTTGCTCCCCTCTACTTCCTCTCCTCCCTTTGTCTTTCCTGTTGTTTTGCTCGTAATTATCTTCGGCCCGCATTGTTGTAAGCTTTTTGAGACGGGATCGAAATTTATTTAAACCTGGTGTCTGATTCTGAACGCGTAGAAGTCAGTCGCTTTCTTAGAACAGGAAATGTCCCATCTATATTTTCCGTGCCAGACTGCGCTCACAAAGCCAAACCCAGTTCAGGCCGGCGCGTGAACCATGTAAAGGCAGCACGCTACTACCGCACTATGTTCTAGGTTTGGCTAGACGCAAATGATGCAAGCCAGAGACATCTGCCAGGCGGTCGTCACTTTGAATGGAAAGCAGCCAGTCGAGGCAGGCTCGCCGTGTAATGAATCGCATTTTGTCGGTGGTCGGCTCCTCGGCGTCACGCGCTGTTCAGCTGGCATTGCGATTTTTCGTTGGGCGTGCCGTACGTTTTATGGAATTGGGACGTGTCACACGTGATATGTGACTAGGGCGAGCCATACACGGTATGTAACCGGGACGTGCCATACGCGGTATGTGACCGGGACGTGCCATACACGGTATGTAACCGGGACGTGCCATACACGGTATGTAACTGGGACGTGCCATACACGGTATGTGACCGGGACGTGCCATACACGATATGTGACCGGGACGTGCCATGCACGGTATGTAACCGGGACGTGGCGCTCTTTTCAGCTGGATTCAGCCGACGAACAAGCGGCCGCTATCCGCCGTGAGCTGGATGGTCGAATGCAGAAGGTCGCCGAGATGGAGCGGGTGCGTCCACGGACCGCCCCCCTTACTGGCCCGCACTGGTCCCGGTCACCCAGGGACCGCTCCCCTTACTGACCCGCACTGGTCCCGGTCACCCAGGGACCGCTCCCCTTACTGACCCGCACTGGTCCCGGTTACGCAGGGACCGCTCCCCTTACTGACTCGCACTGGTCCCGGTCACCCAGGGACCGCTCCCCTTACTGACCCGCACTGGTCCCGGTCACCCAGGGACCGCTTCCCTTACCGACCTGCACTGGTCCCGGTCACTGCCATGTTCGCAAAACTGACATGTTTTAAGATTTATTGCTGATTGGCCACTCATTTTCATCGGAGAAGGGCTCTGCTGTTCTTTGTCTGTTCCTGTGCTGTTTTTCATGAGGGGGCTTATAGTATAGCATCTGCGTGGTAGCAAAGCTATTGAATTCGTTTGCCAAGTGTTATTTGCCGACACCACAAGTCAACGGAGCCGACCGTAATGGAGGAAGCTTGCAGTCCATCATTGGCCTGACGATATCTGAACCAAAAAGCCATCAAGCATGCTCGAAGACCTTTTTAACCGCAGCATTCGCTGAATTTAATGAAATGTACTCGCCTTTCGTAGAATCGACGTCTGATGCCAAAGTTTGTGCTGAAAGAAATGGAATCATTGTACGTAGAAGAGCAGAAGTCGGAAATAAATAAGCTGATGGTCAACTTGGAGTCGTTGCCTGTCTCCAAGGGCTCGACGGACTCCAAATATGGTCTTCAGAAGTTGAAGAAGTACAATCACAGGTGAGACTAGTCCTTGTTTCTCCGGGCTGCTTTTCACTCGCTTCACTTGTTAAGCTGTCGCCACAGCCCATTTCACTTACTCTCAAGGGTTTTTTGTGCTTTTGTTTACTTGCTTTTTCAATGATGTTGCTATTAACTGGGTGGATATGGTGAACTGCGGCAGATAGCCTGGCTATACCTCTGGTTCGCGACCTTTTGCGATCGCAAACAAAGCTTGCCGGTTGTCCCTTCTAGCACCGCGTTCTAACGCTGCACCGAGAGCTCGTGTGGACATGACAATGGTCTTTTATGGCCGTAGGCAGACCGTCCGCCCTTTCTTGACCTCCAAGCATGAAACCCGCCCTTCTGTTCATGACCCCAAGCGCACCAATAAAGCCAGTTGAATACCTCCGCTTGAGACGCCTGACCTTCGAGAGCTGATCAGCGTCGGCTCGCAGACCTGGAACTGTCCAACCCCGTCGCAGGCCGCCTGCAGTGGCGCGCGGCCCCCGGCTGGCGGTCTGGCCCAGCCGGCCCCACCCGGCCCGCAGCAGCCCCGCCAACCCTTCGGCGCGGTGTAACGGGCAGGCCGGCACGCTGTCAAACCGGCACGGGTGTTTTGTTGCAGCGCCAGCGCCAGGGCCGATTGGAACGGCCAGACCAGTTCATTAGCCGTGGAAAGCTTGTTAGATGATTCCAAAACTGTGAGCTGCTGGTTTAAGTAAGTCGTGTCGGTGCCTGATCTCTAGCTGGTAGGCAGCCTCGGCGCTGCCGCGTTCGCCTGCCGCCGTCTCGTCCGCCGTGTTTGTGGTGCCCCACTCTGTACCCCGTTAGTCAGAGCATGCCAGAGGCACGGTAGACGAGCAGCGGTGTGGAGTGCGCCTCCAGTGCCATTGGTAACCGGCCAGGCTTCGTCCAGTCGCCTCACACGCCCTAGACTAACTGTGCCATCTCCTTTGTAGCACTTCGTGCCCCTTTTAGTTGGCGTTAGGTTGACGTACTCTTGTATATATATATATATATATATATATATATATATATATATATATATATATATATATAGGGGTTTGCTTAAAGTTGTGCATGGTAAGCCAAACGTGTTACTTTATCGTGATAGGTGCTGGTTTTCAACAGTGGATTAGCTACCGAGCACCAAGCAAACAATAGATAATCCGATGCGATGCGAATGTAAATATGACCATTCATAAATGATATGTAACCACAGTTATTTCAACCTCGATGTTACCATAGCAGTGTTGCAGCCGAAAGATAAATGTTACGAACACAGTGCTGAACATTGTCTTACTTCGTCTGTACCTTAACGTCCTCTGCTTTTACCGCCGCGTTTGACCTAAATGGACTGATGTGCCATATATGAGTGTTTTTTGTAGCTTTATCGCTTTCACATGCAAGGAAATGTGAAATGGACACAAAGTTGTTAGGTCTGGGTCTTTCTTAGGACATAGACTGAGGACCTTCCCGAGGACCTTAGCTGCATGCGCATTATCCGCCCTGTTACTAAGCGACGTACATGCATTCACGAAGCTGTGGTTGGCATTAAAACTGCGATAAACTGCGTGTCTTGTCAGTTGAGATATCCAGGAAACAAAATCACAATTAGTTATAAATATTATACATATATATATATGGTCATATATAAATATACATATATATATATATATATATATATCTATATATACATGTATATATATACATATATATATATATATATATATATATATATATATATATATATATATATATATGCATTTGTTCACTTCCCGGATCACGATCTAAAAACATGAAATAATCTGGACCGTGGAAGAACACGTGCCGAGCCACGTGCGTGGGCAGCGGCGGCGAGAGGCCAGCTGTGTGGAGACGCGTGGTGCGTAGGCGTGCGGCGGACGGACTCACAAGTGAGGGACTGGAGCGCACCACCTCCGGCGCGCCGCTGATCGGCTAGGAGACGACGGCCAGCCCAGGCGAGCGTGTTTCAAGCCGGAGCCAAAGTCCGAGCCCTTTGCCAAGCCTGTGCCGAAGCCGAAGCCGGAGCCGGTCGCGAGACGCTCGACAGCTTATCGTCACGTCAGGTGACCAAGTTGTGTAACTGTTGCCAGGCCGGACAGCGAACGGCAGAAAAGATCCGACCATGTGGCGAGCCGCAGTGCGGTCCTGACATCGAGTTTGATGGCCCTCTGTTCGCTGCTCGGGGCGCGTCAAGACCACCCGAAGCAAAACGGCTCTGGAGGACGTAGGAAAAGAGGAACCCTGCGCGAAATTTGTGCAAGGGACTGTGTTGAATTTTGGATGAACCCGGACATGCCGGATGTGCGCTTTTGAGCAAAATTGAATATGCATCCATGTATTTTGCATTTTGCGTCGCGTAGCGCATCGTGCAGAAAAGGTGGCAATCCTCAGGTGGAAGAAGAAAATACCACAGAACACAATTTAGTACGAAGAAAGACCCACGCATGTTAGGATATGAACAAATTGAAAGCAAAAGGTTGCGCGGAATCAAGATAAGTAACATTTTAAAAGATCACAGGAAGCAACATTCACGTAAAATACCTGAGATAAAACACCGCTTGGGATCAAGCTTGCCAGGAGAAAGGCGGTCAGGCATAATCAGTTATGGCAAAGGATAGTCATCTGCCAAAAACATAACTCAAGAATTGTGTAAGAGATTAAGACCGGAAATTATAAGTGTCTTAACGATGTGACAGAAATCGATATCGCAACATAGTCCAAGGTAAAGAGAAATGGAGATAGAAAGCATAACCGCACACACGAACCAAGAGAGATGCAAGTCTCTCAGAAAAGGAACGACAGCCCCCCCCCCCCCCCATTCAACTTTGCACCCAGTAGCCGAAATGTGAGGATGTCTTCTGCACTAATTTCAAACTGCGAAGGATATGCTGCAGATATTAAACTACGGGTCTTCAGTGGGTCATTACCCGAAAGACCCCATGTCCGGTCTTACGGTTATGTCCGTTTTGCAGCAACCGCCAAGTTTGTGGGAAGAAATTAGCATTAAAAGCCTACGCGCATTCCTAGAACATCTGGTAAAGTTCTGCCGCTTGGCAAACATCTCGGGAGCGGAGTTGTTCCACAGCGAATGTTTGGATAAAGCTGCATTTCACACCAGCGTTCCGACCAGGCGCTCGTTTAACACGCGGTCGGATAAGCGGAGGTCGAGCTGACCTCCCCCGAATATTTTTCCGGAATTGTTTCTGAACGGCGCGGCGCAGCCGCGCCAAATTTTGCATAGCTGTAGACAATTGAATAGCTGATCGTTTGGTGAAAATAATTTAGATACAACTTGTAAGGTCACTGACCTATGGTACGTCAAAGTCAGGCCATAGTTTCAGCGAAGCCAATTTCTAGGGAATCGTTCAATCTGATGCAACAACGGAGTGTTAAACAAAGCCATTATCTCTGAAATGATTTCTTAGACAACAAAACAACTGAATGAGTAAATTGCATCGACCTAAGGTCAGGAATGAAGGTCAGACCAAGGTCAAAACCAACTTGTTTTATTGCTCTAGGGCTTTCTGTATGAGATAGTTTCTGGTACTCATTTCGAATTTATTGCAAGCAGGAACCGCATTCTAGATCTTCCATGGACTTCTTGACGATCAGAATAGGTCATTGACCTTGAACGACCCGGGTCAACACTTGGTTTTTAGGAGCACACTGCCTAGCGTTGTCTTTGTCGCTTATTCAAATGCAAAACTCATAGCAGTCTTGTATTATTTTATCACCATGACCTTCAAAAGGTCAAACAAGGTCGCTTTTCTTGAATGAGCATGCGACCTTTTGCTTAGAAACCGGTATCTATGTTCTGGGGGCCTTTTGGAGACCAACCAGGAATTTGATCTTGTTTGACCTTATTTGAGCCGAAGGTCATGACCCAGGAATCTCAAACTTTGACCTAAGTGAGTTTACGTACAGGTCAACATACCCTGTGAATTTGGTGCCTCTAGTTTTCATAGTTCTTGAGATCTCAGGGGGGTCAAATTGACCCCCAGCCGAGCGAAGGGTATCCCAGCCGGCCACCCGGGAGCGTGTTAAGGCGTTCACCTCGCGGCGGAAGTGGAGGCGCCGCCATCCGTCGGTCCGGCGTCAGCTCCACGTTGTGGCCGCCAGCGGGGTCGTACCAAGCAGCGAAATGGACCATATGACCTTAACGTCATATGATTCGTACCCTGCATGACCGTTTGTCATGCGACCTTCATCCCTCACGGCCTTTTTATTGCTACCTTCATGCCGAACGATTTCGGGTCTGCACAATCTTTTAATGCACGCATGCGCGGAGCTTCACAACATAAGTTCGGGGTGAGGAGGGGGTATGGGGATACTGAGTGGTGAAAGGTCGCAAAACCAACCCCGCATAGCACCATCAAATGGGTTTTCTTCCAGGATAGTCTACTTTCTTCTCAAGTGTGGGCCGTAACCCCTAAAACCAAACAGAAAGCTGCGCACCTGGCTGTTGGCCTATTTATACAATATCTACTTTCCATAACTTTTGATGCCAGGAAATAGAGCTGTCCGTTACAGTAAAAACAATCACTACAGGGGTTTGGCTGGTATGTCTTTGAGTGTGACAGGGAAGTATCAGGAAGATGCAGTTCCATACAAGATACAACACCTGCACCAAGTACGTTGTACTTTATTTGGTTTGCCGACTGCAGGAAGGTTGTCCCCCTTCTGCGAGTCCATATGGGCAGGTGCACCTGAAGCGTGACTGAAGAGCAGAGAGGACCCCGCCCTTTCACGATGTCACGATGCCCCGTTTTCAGTCAGGACATTATGCATGGATTGCTTAAATATCGGATGCCCCATGTCATAAGCGTTATAACAGGGGTCAGGGGGTCGTGGCCCCGCGCTTTTTGAGGAGTCTTATCCTATGGCGATGCATGCAAAGAATCAACTTCAAAATTAGTATTGCTCCCCCTCTCCCCATCTCACATTCGGAGACGCTGATAGCTGAGGCCGCGCTTAAACTCCACAGATCTCTCAGGACGCTTATATGTGCCCGTAATGGAGACGCGCTCAGAAGCAAGCTCCTCTCCATGTTCAGCAGGTAGATGCGTATATATCACATTGGACATGAGTAGCCTTGACAGCTATGGGGAATCACCGCGAAGGCCAGGGGTGTCCATATGTGTGCTAGGGGATTGGGTGGTCCCCATTCGTCTCCGATTTCAACACTAGGCCCATGGTGTTATATGGAAGGGAACATGTCGAAAATTGCTGTTTGAGTCCTTCCAATCGTTTTTACAAAGGGTTTTCTACTGAAAGAATTTAGAAAGCTGCTCACGCGTGGGATGATGAGATTTGAAAACACGCATTCAGCGTACTGTCACACGCGATTGCTGTTGTCATGCCTTTCATCTTGAGAATTCATCCGTAACATGATCATTTGCGCCGTACAGACACTGAACCTCGGCTCACGGTCGAAAGAACTGGTGACGCGATTCGCGGCCGCTCACGATGTTATAAGCACAGTTCGAAACGGCGAGTATCGGTATTATATCCAACGGTGTTTAACTGGTGCTTCCTGGTATTTTAACATGCGCTCGGGGGGGGGGGGGGGCGTCAATTTCACCATCGCAAATATTTTTTCGGGAATGATTTCCGAACAGCGCGGCGTAGCCGCACTAAATTTGGCGTAGCTGTAGGCTATTAATTAGCAAAGCGTTTGGTGTAAATATCTCG